CTACTAAGTAAATATCATAATGTTGTTTGAAGATTGTCTTATAACATGGTGGATATGATTTAACATGTTATCTGATATATTTCATGTTATTTGTTAGTATGGTATAATAAATTATAAATTATAGCAAGAAAATGTAAACAAAATAAGAAAGTTTGATCATCGACATCTTTTAATGAAATGTCATTTTAAATTATGGTATGTTATATCATGTTAGTGAATGTAGTTGCATAAACAATCTTATTAATGTGCTATGATATGTCATTATGAAATATATCATAAATCTTGTCATTGACATCTCGAATAACATATAATGATGTGTCTGAGAATATATGTCTATCTATATAAACTTTGAATATAGTTTGTTGAATCTAAAAAAATTATGTGTAGATGAATAGTATAAAACAATATAACTTGGTAAATGTGTCATTCTCTCCAATTGAAGTTGTTGTATTATGATACATTATGACAACATGTCATGTCAAACATGAGAGATGACAATGGGGGTATTATAGTCATTTGGTAGGTTATCTACTCAATAAACTTATTAACATGTTATATGCTTAAATACTGAATTGTTAGAGTATATATCATACTAGAGATTGCCCACGCGATGCGTAGATTTAAAAATAAAAATTATAAAATATGCAATAATATTTTAATTTATTGATTATTTATGAATTAATATTACAAATTTTGATGTTTATACTAAATAATTATTTATGTTCGAAAACTAAACATTTGTAGCAAATTATTGATACAATGTTATATGTTAAAGAAAGAGATTGTTCATTAATAAAAATTTGCATATGAATCATTGAACTGACATAAACTTGTAGGAGATGTATATTATGTAAGTTAATGAAAATGTAAAATAAAGTTAAGATATATGTTTGGTCTTCTTTATTTTTGCATCAAACACGTTCGTAAAAAAAAAATTATTGAACCGACAAGTTGTAGTACGTTTGGTGCATCTACTAAAACATATGCATCATCTCAACAGAGATGTTAGAACTTATCTCTATTTATATTTTATTAGAACTTTTAATCGTAAAAAGAGAATAATTATTGTTTGATTGTATTTTTGTCTCTCTTTTGATCGTTTTGATGTGATTTTTATGTAATTTTTATCTTTCACATCGATTCATTGGTGAATTGCATTATGTTTTTCTTGTCGTGATTACAGTTTGGAAGGAATAATAAAAAGAAAAAAAGTTTTTATGGATTCACAATTTGTGGTGGAGTAGGTTTTTCTTTCAAAAGTCTTGGTTAATACTTTCTCTAATAGAAATTTTTTTAATTGCACTAACTTGTTTTTTTTATGTGTTATTAAGTTTTTTTGGTGTAGTATATTGTTGGGTTTTAATTTAATAATTGCACATTTTTTTATGTGCTATTAAATTTTGTTGGTGTGGTATATTGTTTGGTTCAATAAATAAAATATATATTTTCCAAACCGATTTAAAATTTTACAATAACACATTTAATTTGGAATCATATTTTTATGGGTACCAAAAAAAAGAAAGAAAACAATGGCTAATATATATTACAACTTGTTGGAATTAATTAACATTAGAATTAGCTATTAAATTGTTGGAATTGATTGTCAAAATTATTAGAAAGAAAAAAATAGATATAAAGTTTTATTTTTTCTCTTAAATAAATAAATTAATAAAAACACATGTCAAAAAAGTAGGTGACACATGGCAACCTCTCGTAATTTTGGTTTGAAAAAAAACTTACTATATTATATTAGATTTTTATTTTGAGAAATTTAAAAAAATGACACTTTTCAAGTGCCACTTTACAAAAATGCCACACTTTTAAAATTTTTACAAAAATGTCACTTTTTCAAAATTATTTTTTCTTTATATTATTTATGTTTGGGTTAATTATGTTCTATTAGAGTTTAGTTTTAAGTGTTTAGGAGGTTTTAGGTGTCAAAACATTTTTTAGGTTTTAGAATTTTAAGATATAGGCTTTATAAATCTATAATTAGTGGCATTTTGGTAAATGAACACCCCTAAGTGGCATTCTTGCAAATATGCACACAAAAAGTGGCATTTTTGTAATTGTCCCTTTTATTTTTTTCTTAAATAAATAAATTAATAAAAACACATGTCAAAAAAGTAGGTGACACATGGCAACCTCTCGTAACTTTGGTTTGAAAAAACCTTACTATATTATATTAGATAATCTCTCTAAATATAATGGAAAATTGGTAGGCAACAAAAAAATTAATAATTAGGCATTAACTATTATTTTTCTGGCTATGATATTCTATAATTTATGTAATAATGACAAAAATAACCATGTTTGAGAGAAGAAAAAAGAAATGATGACATTGTACTTTTTTTTCTTTCTTTTCACTACTTTGTTTTTTCTCCTTTATAAATTGAGAAATTTCAAAAAATGCCACTTTTCAAGTGTCACTTTACAAAAATGCCACATTTTTGGAATTTTTACAAAAATGCCACTTTTTCAAAATTATTTTTTCTTTATATTATTTATGTTTGGGTTAATTATGTTCTATTAGGATTTAGTTTTGAGTGTTTAGGGGGTTTTAGATGTCAAAACATTTTTTAGGGTTTAGAATTTTAAGATATAGG